AATATTAAAAGAGAGAAACCTTGGATAGATTTCAGGAATATGAAGAGCCAGAACTTCCAATATTATACCATCCAGGGTAAACCAAAATAAATAGGGGAAAATAATAATAATAATAATAAAAAAGTTAACACTAAAGCACTTACAAATGACCATGATGACGTTAGAATACACAACCATAGGAAATATTGGTGGTAGGTTGTTGGATTCAAAAGGCTATTGAAATCAGGGATCCAGTTACTATTCCAAGTAATTAGAATAGAAAGCTGTAGGTAGAAGATATGAAAGCAGAAAATGCACAAACACGTGCTATAACTAGGGATGCACAAATCTACCTGCAAGAGCCTTTCGTCAATTGGATATGGTAAAAGATTAGGATGTTTCAATTTGGCAAAAATCAGATGGAAAGAGGATTTTCAAAAGAGATGAATCAAAATTACTCCAATTTTTCACCTAAGATATTAATTACACTGTCTGACACAAGATACTGATTCATTAGCTAACTTGACTAATATTTGAATTAAAAAATCTAAATTCAAGTTAGCTATGCTTGAAGGTGGGTTACTTTCACCATCCTATTTGTCACCACCTACTCAATCACAATAAATTGGCACAGCTGCACAGAAGATCAACTTACAACAGTTATAAGAACAACAAATTTTAAATAAACTGGAAATCAACACTGGGCTTAGGAAAAACATTTGCCAACACATCTTTCTTCATTCAAGTTTTCCATTTTCAAAGCATTAATGGAGAAGTAACTAAATTTTTGTTCCTTTTAAAAGGTAAAAACAGAGATATGAATGTGTGCCAAGTACTAAATGCTACCTTAATGAAGGTGCAACGAAAGAAGACGCAGCACTTTGAAGAACACTGACACCAATTAATCGAATAAAGGATGCCTTATCCTGCTGCAACACATACTTTACAGTTGTTCCTGCAAAATTAATATATTTTAAAAACAAGATAGAAGTCCCTCAAATCAGGAATTCATAATGAATAAATTTAAAATACCATTCAATGTAGCAATCCTATCCGATATCCATGTTCTTGAAATGACAAGAAAAGCTACTGTAAGTAATTGAGCCCCTTGTTTGTCAAACACTGTTGGTACCTGAACATCCAGCAATCAACAATAAACATATACTCTTTAATCTCAATCACATATCAAATTAAGGCTCTCTGATTCAGTGCAATTAAAAGGAAAGAAAGAAATAGTAATGAAAGGGAATAGCAGAAGTTCATTGCTTCAAAACAAAGGTACAAACAAACTCAAGTTGACCGAAGCATGAAAACAACATTTAGATGGTCAACTCCAGTACTAATCAAATAATGGCACTGGAGACCAATTATTTCAATGAAGACAAACTCTTTAGTTTGCTGATGAGGGATTAATATCCCATTGATTTTTACAGAAAATAAACAACAATAAGAACTTCATATAGGACCAAGAGAACGTCACATTCAGAGGTAGGAGCAGGGTCAAAAGTTAGAAATCAACCATATGAATACCCACTTAATTACAAGAATGGATTGACCATCAAAATTTGATAATAACTATTTCAAAAGGTAGGGTTTATTTTAAAGCAAAACTTAATAGCACCAGAATGAGATTAAAAATTTCACAAGATAAAATATAACTCAGACATTGCTTTAGGCACTTTATATAGGTCAATCATCCAATGTCATAAACATCCAGCATCAATGCAAGTACAAAAACAGACCCTTACAAACTCACCAGTACTTTAAACATGGCAGCCACTCTCAATGGCAATACTCTTGGTACATTCTGAAGTTGAGGAACAACAGGTAATGTAACACTTTTATCTACAGAGGGCGATGATGCTATCACCTTTGGTATGTATGATTGCACCTTTGACTTTGCAAATGCCGAGTCCTAGATAAATTCACTCAAAAAATAGCATTAAGCAAAAACAAGCCCCAAGGAACAAAGCAGACACAAATGAGAGCAAAATTTTGGGAAGTTTTTTTGACCTTTTTAGCAGCAGCAAATGCTCGTTGAACTGCTATTGCATCACTTTGGCGGTCTGACTCTGAGGGCTTCATAAAATTTATCTCAGTTTCAGTTTGTACTGGAGAATCATCCCTGCAGCTTTCATGAAAGTTTAATAAACAAGAATTTGTAATTTGTGCAATAGCCACACAAGTAACATGAATTACCTTGTGTGATGGACACTCCATCTTCCTTCTCCATCCAAGGATAAAACCACATCATGAAATGCAACCAGTGCTGGACGATGCGATATGGTTATGCATGAGGTACCCAGAGCTCTAACTTTAGCACAAAAGCGTTCCTCCATGTCAGTTGTCACAGCACTCGTGCACTCATCTAGAATTGCAAATTTAGGCTTATGATAAAACAGTCTGGCCATCCCTAATCTCTGTTGTTCCCCCAAGGAGAGTTCATCACCCCAATTGACCTCTTCTTCAGACGGGTAACGATCTAGTAGGTACTCAAGGTCAACCTAAAAATGGAATACCAATGTCTTTCCAGAATTATTTTAAAGGACATGTATAAATTTTACTACACACAAAATTATAGAAAATTAATAAAGTTTTTTAAGGAAGAATAAATAAATGGGAAATAAAAGTTTTACATTTTTTAACAGCTCCACCATTCCACCATGTGTAAGTGGTTCAACCTCCTGATACACGGTAAGAGGATAAATTAACTGGTCACGTAGTGTTCCTACAGCTGTATAAGGTCTTTGTGGCACATAGAAAATCTCCTTATTAAGATCAGAACCAACTCCAGGTTTCACGATATGGCCTGACACCAGCGGCCAAAGGCCTCCTAAAACCCGGAAAAGAGAGCTCTTCCCACTACCATTTGGACCTAGATCAAATTTGGAAGACATTAGAACCTGGAGAAAGTAATCATATATATTAAACATTGGCCAAAAATATTAAACAAAAACAGACAAAATGAGCTAGGATTCAATTACATAGATCAAAACAATTTACAGAAAATTAAAATTAGAATTAATTTTGACATACCACAAATCAACCACTTCATGAAATTATTACTTCTATAACCTATTTTTAAGATTCTTGATTAAAGAATGATCCAATATTTGTTTCCCGATATATTTTTCATTTTAGACTATATATGAAAATCTAACCATTTCATTTCAAAGATCAGACATGGAAGAATGAAGATCAATAATCAATTTGTTCTGTTGAAAAAACCCAAACTATATTCCTGCTTTCATTTAACATTAACAGAAATGAATCAAAGAGATAAATTTGCTAGATCATGGTATTTTATGCAAAAAAAAAAAAAAAAAAAAAAAACTACCTGTAATCAAAAGATTAGATCCTGGTTCAACCCGCAGACTGAGATCCTCCACCAAGACATTGCCACTTGGAGTAACAACCTATATAGCACGATACAGTGAGAACAACCAAATGCAAAAATCATATCCTAAACAAAAAGATGCTATATAACCTTAACTACCTTGACACCAGAAAACTCAATGTAATTAGCTTCACTAAAATAATTCCTGCTTCCATTTCTTTGCAAGGATGATTTATCATCAGCACTTAGCTCTCTTGATATAACCATTAACTCATGAATGCGGTCAGCATAACCACTGCAAGAAAATATTTAAAGTAAAACCTTAAGTCATAAAGCTTGCAATTAGATCTCTCTGATTGTGTTCAAAGTGCTTATCATTCATTTTTTTTTTTTTTTTTTCATTTAGGAAATGGTTCCAATCACCTATTGAGAAAGCCAAAAATACTTGAAAATAAACATATAAAAAAAA